CGGAGAGGCTGTCTAGGTCTAAAATGAGTGTATATACTCATTTTATTCCAACTACATACTAAAGATAGCCATTATTATCTCAATTTTATAGATAAGATACCTGAAACTTAACTTACAGTTTAAGTCCGTTAGGACAGTGGTCAGCAAACTGTGGCTTGAGAGCCACATGTGGCTCTTTGGCTCCTTAAGTGTTCTAACGGCACTTCTTCAAAATAGACTCGCCCAGGCCGAAAACTGACTTCTGCGCATGGTCCACAAAGTTTCAATCGCACTGTATGCCTGCACCCACACATGGTATTTTGTGCAAGAGCCACACTCAAGGGGCCAAAGAGCCGCATGTGGCTCGTGAGCCACAGTTTGCTGACCACTGGGTTAGGATTTCAAAGTCTCTGTGCTTAACTACTACAAATTACAATACATGCTTTCTAAAACATGGGTTAAAGCAAAGCATAGCGTAGTTAAAAACAAAAACATCAAATACAATGGCAACAAGAGAACAGCTGTAAAGAAAATGGAGTCCCTATGTTAGAAATATAGTTAGAACTTGGTATCTATCTCCTCCCTCCCTGCAGCCATGCTAACAAGTGTAAAAGCCAAATGTGGCTGTTAAGAAACTAAAAAACCAAAAGACTTTAAAGCAAATTTCACTTGAAAGCAGGAAAATAAAAATTAAATAAATAATAGATAAGATACTAATTAGTGTTTCAAGAACAAATAATTACCTTAGAACATAATATCTTGCCGAGACCAGTTTGGCGCAGTGGATAAAGCGTCAGCCTGTGGACTGAAAGGTCCCGGGTTCAATTCTGGTCAAGGGCATGTACCTGGGTTGTGGGCACATCCCCAGTAGGGGGTGTGCAAGAGGCAGCTGATCGATGATTCTCTCATTGATGTTTCTAACTCTCTATCCCTCTCTCTTCCTCCCTGTAAAAAATCAATCATATATATATATATATATATATATATATATATACACACACACACACACACACACACACACACACACATAATATCTTCAGAACAATGCTCCTTTTAGTATCAGGAAGCCTGTACAGAGTGCTACAGACAGCTTTCAAAGAAGAATAATCTACTGAACAAACAAACTGCATTCTAATCTATCATTCTTATGACATAAAAAGAAAGAAAAATGTTAAAGGCTGGCAAAAGCTAACAACAGGTAATTGCATTTTCTCACAAATATCAAGTGCACATACTGTACTAAGTTCTTGTTAGGGATAGTGGAGACTGTCAAGTAGGACTACAAGTAATGACATGGTTTGAACCACATGAGTAATTAGCCCCTCCCCACCCCTCACCTCTCTTTAAGTTGTCTCTACCTAACTGTGAGGGTAAAAAATTTGTTTAAGTTGTTTTAAGGTAATATATAATTGCCAAATAAAGAGAAAGCAGTAAATGATAAAAACTCAGAGGAGAGAAATCACTAAGAGACTAGAATGGTCAAAGATTTCATAGAGTAGGTGGAATTGGAACAGACCTTCATTTTTTAAATTTTTTTAAAGTATAGTTGGCATACAATATTATATTAGTTGAAGGTACATAACATAGTGATTCAACATTTATATACCTTATGATGTCTTCCTTACAATCACATCATTAGGAAGCAGGCCATTGGAAGACAGAGACTGGAAAGGAAGCATTCCAAGTAGAAGGAATAGCCTAAACAATACGAAGAGGTGGTAAGTCAAAAAGTGCTGCTTTGAAGACAGTTATAGAAACTAGTCTAGATAGAGTCAAAGGTTCAGTGTTGGGAAGTAGTGAAAGATTCTGCTAGAAAGATGGTTTTCAGCCTGGAGAGCCTTCAACACTAGGTTTAGGCATTCAATCTCCTAGGATCTAGACAATGGAGAATCGAACCTAAATCCTACAGACAAATCCTAAGAAATGACGCTAGTACAGTGTCTCTAGATCTCCTCCATACCATCCCTTACTCCATTTGCCCTTTTATTTACCCTGGCATCTTTTTTAATATGGATCATTGGTATAGAGCTGATAAGATAAACATAATCTTCACACTGACATCTCTCTTATGCTTACTTAATCCAATGATATCAATGGCCATGCAGTAACATATTTAACTCAGAAACAGAAACAGATCAACAGGAAAGATGGGCTCCAAAACAATGTGATCCAAGTCTAATCCAATACTCAGAATTAGACATGATACCTAGGGGAACCATCAAACACATTTTCTCTGTATAACCATTCTAATAATAGAAAAAGAACTGAACCAAAATCTGCCCCACATTAAATTCTACTCTGCAATACAAATAATATCCAGAAACTCTTGCCTTGGTGTGTGATGAAGATAGCTATAGTTGGTTAACTGTCTCTGAAACAATAAGTTGATGGATTGTGTATATACACACACATGTTAAATAAATATTTAAATAAATAAAAGGATATACATTTGTCTGGGATAAAGACCCAATCATTTTAGCTTTAGATATGGTAATTGGCCTTACTATCATTGCAATAATGTCTTGAAAAGATAAGCCCTATCCCTAGCATTCTGATTTTTATAGTCTCATTTCCTGGCATGAAGTGGTATTTCTAGTGTCTTCAAAATTTTTAAACTTATCCATTCTATATTCTCAACAAAAGAATACCTAATCTCACAGTTTGATGACAGAATGAAACAAATAATACCTTGAAAGGAAAAGTGAAACACTATTTCCCCCCTACCAAAACCCCCACACACACTCTAGCTGTTGATTTCATCCTATTATCAGAGCTAAAAAGAATAGGTTCCATTCAAATTGTCTACAGAACCTCACTGAGCTGCTTCGCTCTTCTCTCATTTCTTCCCCTCTCCATCTCCTCTGTACTTACACACAATCACCTCACTCTGCTGTCCATCTTCCCCCAACTGCTATACAACAATTCACAGGCTGTCACAGATTGTCCGCACCGTGTTTGGAGACTTCAGAAGTACTCTTGTGGGACAGTGCAGTGTGTTAGTACATCATTTCCCTGAACACAATGTCACTCTTTATAGCCAGTTGCAAATTAGTCTCCTCTTAAAAAAATGAAACTCCTAATAAGACAGGTACAAGGAGATTTTAAATAACCAAAATTAAAACTCACTCTGGTTTACTCTGATATCTGGGACATTTCAGAGTCATGCACAATGAGATCCCATGCCTCTACTGATATGAGCCATACAAACCATCTAAGAATATCTGAAGTCAGCTTTCTAATACTAACAAAAGCAGAGACTACCAAAACCCTACAAAGGAGAATTTCTTTCCCTTTATCTATACTTATGGCTCCTTATTCTTAGATTCTATCTGAGAAGACTTTAAGGTCAGCTCTCAGCATCAACATTTACTTCTTAATTGCTGTGCAAAACCTTATTTAAAATAAAATTCTGCAAATCACCAGTATCATTTCATTATAGTTTCTATCCTTTTTTTTTTTTTTTTTTTTGCCACGTGCCTCAGCAGCACACAAGACAATTATCTTCTGAAAGATGCTGCAACTGACCCTCTTATTACCAGGAAAGCCTTCACCCTACACATCAGCTTCCCAGTTGCTACTTGTCTACATGTGAGAATCAGAAGCTGAAATAGACTGAAAAGATCACCAGAGGATGTAGGTTAGAAAAACATCTCACAAAATAACAGGTCCTACCAATTCCTACCAATTTACTAAATTTCTTTAAAAATTTTTTAATTGAAAATAACACCTACAGAGTAATATTCAAAAACTGCAATCACTTTCACTAAATATCTATTTTTCATTTCCAAGTTCTTAGAGAGATTCATTCTGGTTTTTTGTTTTTTACTTTTTATTTATTGACTTTTGGGGAGGGGGAGGAGGAGGAGTGAAAGGGAGAAAGAGAAACATCGATTTGTGGTTCCACCCATCCATGCATCCGTCAGTTGATTCCTGCACGCACCCTAACCAGAAATCAAACCTGCAACCCCAGCACATTGGGATAACACTACAATCAACTGAGCTACTCAGCCAGGGCTTCATTACACTTTACTAAAAACTTAATTATCTATTCTTTAACCCAGGGGTGGGGAATGTCCACTGTATAAGGCCTGTGGAATCATTTCATCTGGCCCTGCCAAGGCATTAGAGATGAGTTAATTAAATGTTTGACCAAATACAGCAGGCTAATTTTTAAATTGATAATTTTGTATGGCCCGAGAATGATCTTATAAATATCCAAAGGCCCTTGGCAGAAAACAAGTTCCCCACTCCTGCTTTAACCCTTACAGTAACATTGCACCTTTGCTGATCCCTTCATGAACTATAGGAAAGCTAGAGCTTTAAAGAATAGATATTAATTTTCTGTCTTTTCAGTGGAGACTGAAGAAAGCAAAGCTAGTAATCCAACTTTGAGAACTAATTCCAGTATTTAAACAATCCCTGTTCTCTTTACAACAAACACCAAAATTAAGATAGAGAACAGAAGCAAGAAAATCTTCCAAAGAGCCTATATTTTAGGAAATTGCCACCTTCAAACTGTTTTACATGAGTTACAACATAAAATGACAGTGAAGAAACAAAATATAAGTAAACTAATATTTATAGAGTAAATGAACAGTCTTTCTATAAAATATGCATAAGCCCTGGCTGGTGTAGCTCAGTTGGTTGGGTGTTGTCCTGAGCACAGAAAGGTTGCTGGTTCAATTCCTGGTCATTGCAGCCTTGATCCCTGGAAGGGGGCATGCAGGAGGCAGCCTATCTATAACATGTTTCACTTCACATTGATGATTCTCTCTTCCTCTCTCTTTTCTTCTCTCTCTAAAAATCAATATTTTTTTCTAAAAATAAATGCATAAGTATACCTAATTGTCTTTCCAAATAAGTGACATTAATTTTTTGAGTAATGAAACTCTATAACAGGGTTAGGGAACCTTTTTTCTGCCAAGAGCCATTTACATATTTATAACATCATTCGTGGCCATACACAATTATCAACCTAAAAATTAGCCTGCTATATTTGGTCAAACATTTCATTAACTCACCCCTAATGTGATGGCTGAAACTGCTTCTCCTGGGTGAGGCGTGTGATGTTAGCTGGTATTGATGAAGTTGCTACTCGCAACTGCTTTTCCAGGTTTGTGTAGATCAGTCTGGAGCGCAATCGACTCTTTGTTATGGTAAGTTTTGAAAAGAACTGCTCGCAGCAGTAAGTTGTTCCAAACACAGATGCATATTTCAAAGCATGTCTCCTCAAAGCGGGAAATTCGTTGTTATTTATGTAACGTTTGTAGAACTCAAGCAGTGGGACGTTGTTGTACCTAGTTTTCAGCTCATCACTGCTTTGCAGCTGAAAGATTTCCTGTTGTAGGTTACCGGGCACATCAGCTGGTTTTACATTGAATGGTGCAGCAAAGATGTCCAATTCCATTTGTTTACTTTTCACGTCCTTGAATCTTTCATTAAATGCCTCAATTAGTTTTGCACATTCACTAGCATATTCAAGTGTTGTAGAAGGCTTTTGTCCTTCCAGAGTTGGGAAATGCATTGTGTTATTCCTTTCCAGTTGCACTTTCCACAGCCTTAATTTAGCTTCAAATGATATCACCTTTGAAAGCAGTGTGCTGAGAAGCTGGTTGGGGCCCTGTAACTTGACGTTCAACTCTGAGAGGTAGTTGGTAATATCCACCATGAATGCTAGATCACACAGCCACTTGCTGTCCATGAGTTCCCTGACGGGTTTTCCCTTCATCTCCATGAACTGCCTGACTTCATCCCGCAGTTCATAAAACCTCAGGAGCATGTTCCTGTGACTCAGCCACCGCACTTCACAGTTATAAACAAGATCTCCGTACTCAGAGTGAAGATCATTCAGTAACTCCTTAAACTGGCGGCTGGTAAGCCCTCTGCTTTTGACAAAATTTATGCATGACACTACTGTCGACATTACACTGTTAAGCCGCAATGATTGTGCACAGAGACTTTCTTGGTGTATGATGCAGTGGCATATAATTAAATTACTTGGGTCGAGACTAAGACGATTCAGTTCTTTCTTGACCAATGAAATTAACCCTTTTTGCGAGTCAACCATTGCTGGAGCTCCATCAGTAATAAGACCACTTAACTTTTCAAATGTTAGCTCAAATTTTTTCATTGATAAAACAAGTCTCTCAAACAAATCCTCACCTCTTGTAGTGCCATGCATGGCTTCCAGTGACAGCAGTTCCTCTCGAGTGTCAAACTCTGCAGTTATCCCACGAACAAAAATAGCCAGTTGGGAAGTATTTGTTATGTCCGTTGTCTCATCACAAGCCAGAGAGAAAAATTGGAAATCTCCTGCAGAATTCTTCAATGTCATTTCAATATCTTGTGCTAAATCAGTAATCCGATCTGAGACAGTTCTCCGAGACAAACTAACACTTTGAAATAATTTTACCTTGTCTGGTGCTAACAACTCTGCAGCAGCCACCATGCACTCTTTCACAAACTCTCCCTCTACATGAGGCCTCAGCTTCTTTGCTATTAGCTCACTCACCACATAACTAGTCTGAATAACATTGTCTCTGTCACAACCAGGCTTAGAGAAAGCAGCTTGTTGTAATTCCAAACTCCGCTGAAGAGCATTGATTTTATCCAGACGCATTTGGCCTCCCAATTCACTAAGTTTAGCATGTTTTGAGCTGTAATGACGCTCCAGACTGGCTTGTTCCATTACTGCTAACATATCGCCACAAACTAGGCACACAGGTTTGCCTCTGACTTCAACAAAAAAATAATCATTTGTCCATTTTTCTTGGAAAGTTCGACGCTCTGCATCAACTTTTCTCTTCTTTGTAGTTGCCATTTGTAGGATGTCACACCACTTAAGTTTTAATAACTATCCAGTGTGTGTGTTTGTTGCCATGGACACTATTATTTTGCTTTAACTGCTGTTCTAATCCTGCATTTTGGATTTAGAACATATGCAATGTTCGTATCATCGTATCATCAACACCTGAGGTCTTCTCTGTGTGCTGCTGTAATTTCATCAATCTTCATATGAGACTGTTTTGGGGAGGATTGTTGATTGTGGATAAAGGTTGGATTGGAGTTATTGTCAGTGTCAACAAAAAAGTCGACAACATCGTCTTCAATCATTAGAGGCAAGATCCTCAACATTGTGAGGAATCATCTCATAGCATCTCATCTCATCATGACTGATCGCCATAGTTTCGTGTTAACACTGTCCCAATGTGTACACTCCCAGTCTGCCTGGCACTGACTGTTCTGAGTCACAACAGGCAGACAGGCTTAGGTCAGCAGATGAGAAGCTTTCATGTACTCCTCTGTGTCTTGTCTATCCCGTAATGGATGCTCTTCGTTCCTTGCTTGTCCCTAAAAATTTACATTATTGCCCTATCTGCTCATTGGTTAGAGCACTGGCCTATGGACTGAAGGGTCCAGGTTTGATTCCCAGTTAAGGACACTACCTGGGTTGCAGGCCCAATCTTGGCCCCATCTGGGGGTGTGTATACAGGCAGCAACATATCAATGTCTCTCTCACAACAATGTTTCTTTCTCTCTATTCCCCTTCCACTCTAACAAAACAAACAAAAAAATCAATGGGGAAAAAAATATATCCTCAGGTGAGAATAAAATTTTTTAAAACTATTATGCTTCACTTAATATAAACATATGTTGCTATGAAAAAAGCTTCTAGATCTATTGAATTTCAAGTCCTGCCTGCAGTTTGCCTTGGCAGGGCCAAACCAAATGACTTCAAGGACCTTATACGGCCCATGAGCTGGATGTTCCCCACCTCTGCTCTACAACAAACAGACTCTGTCTGAAGAAAAATGGTACAAAAATTCTTTCCTGATAGACGCAGCAGCCTCACCTGGAAAATAATAATAATAAAAGTCACTTTTATTAAAATGTGTAATCACTTCTTTGACACTTGTCTGTGTACTTAACTTACATTATCTCATTTCGTGAATACTAAGAGTTTAACCCAGAGATTTACCACAGATTGTGAAAAAAAAAAAAAAATACACATACAAAGTACTTTTTAGAAACTCATCAACAAAACAGAATAAAGAAATGTTATCTTTCATTCTCAGTCTTTTGAGAACTGGTCTAAGGGGGCAGAAACACCAATTAACTGACATTTTAAAAAAAGAAGTGTATAAAACAAAATAATACAAATGATCAAAAACACAGGAAGTCTTTCAACTTCCAGGAATTACTATAGTTCTTATAGGATGGCACATAGTGGATGCTCAGTAAGAATATGCTGAATGGAAGTTTTAATATATGGATAAAAAATAAGCATCATCAGTTAGCAAAGAAATAATAAATATGTCTTTAAGGGTTTTTTAAAAAAGCGTAAGATCCTGTTTTGGTGAATATAGACTGAAAAATTACACAGAAGAAAAATTATATACAACTTTAATGTCCATCTATATGGGCCAGAATAAATAAATTATGGTACATCTATATCATGGAAAACAATACAAACATTAAACAGAATAAAGTAGCTCTAGAAATACTGACATAAAGATCTATAAAACATGTTAATAAGTTTTTTAAATGGCAAATTTAACGGGAAGTGTACAAAATCAATATAAAACTTTAGAACATTCCTGTGACACAAATATAGATTTGAAATAGAAAGATATTCCTTATTCTTAGATAGAAAACTCAACACAACTCAACATCATCCAGATGTCAGTTCTCTCTTCATTAATTTATGAATTTAACATTATCCCAATAACAACACTAATACATGCAAGCTTTTTTATGGCAGCAGCTGCTATTAAAGTTCAACAAAAAAACAAACATGAAAGAATAGCCAATAGAAATTTTAGAAGCTGGCCTTGATATACTATAATTAAAAATGTGATAATGGTGCAGGAATACAGACTGGTGCAAAAGAACAGAAAGTCCAGAAATAAATTCAATGAAAACTTAACATATGATAAAGGTGGTATCTCAAAACACAAGGGCAAAATTGTACTTTTAAAAGAAAACATGCTGGGACAACAAATTAACATTTGTAAAACATTCTAAGTCCACACAATATTCATTTAAAAAAAAAAAAAAACTTTAAATGAATCGGAGATCCAAACAATTAAAATCATACAAGTAACTAGAGGAAAATGTGTAAATTCCTTTTTACCCTGGGTAAAGGAGGTTTTCTAAATATTATCCAAAATTCTGATGCTATGAAAAATTGGACTACATAAAAGTCTAAACAAATACACATATACACCCTAACAAACAAAAGACAACTGGCAAACTGTAGCATATATCATTGATAAAGAGCTAATTTCCCTAATGTATTTTTTTTATTCTTAAAAATTGAGGGAGGAAAACAAAAGAAGCCTGATAGAAAAGTGAATAGAAAGACATAAGAGCCCTGGCAGTGCGCCTCAGTGGCTAGAGCATCGGCCCACACACCAAAGGGTCTCGAGTTCCATTCCCAGTCCAGGGCACATACCTGGGTTGTAGGTTTAATCCCAAGCCCCCAAGGGAGGCAGTCAATTGATAATTGATGTGTCTCTCTCAAATCAATGTCTCTCTACCCCCCAAAGACCAATGGGAAAAATATCCTTGGGTGTGGATTAACCAAAAAAGACACAAGACAATTCACACAAAAAGAGATAATAAGATGACCTTTATGCATATGGAAAGACGTTCAAACTCACTAAATAGAGAAATGAATATTAAAACTATATGGAGCCGAAGCCGGTTTGGCTCAGTGGTAGAGCGTCGGTCTGCGGACTGAGGAGTCCCAGGTTCGATTCCGGTCAAGGGCATGTACCTTGGTTGTGGGCACATCTCCAGTGGGGGGTGTGCAAGAGGCAGCTGGTCGATGTTTCTCTCTCATCGACATTTCTAGCTCTCTATCTCTCTCCCTTCCTCTCTGTGAAAAATCAATAAAATATATTTTTTAAAAAAACTATTTGGAGATACCATTTTGTTAACCTAAAGGTTAACAAAAATTAAAAGGTATAAAATAACACATTCTGATTGATGGTAATGTTTTGGGGAAACTAACACTCTCATACATTACTGATGGGAACTCAAATTTGTACAGCCCCCACAGCAAGAGATTTGGCAATATTTTAAAACTACATATGCTTTTAAACTTTTGACCCAAACATCCCATTTTAGGAATTTACCCAAACATACACTTCCAACATATGAAAAGATATAAGTATATGGACAAGGTTAGTCACTGCAGCACTGTGTATAAATGCAAAATATTGAAAAAAGTATAAGAGAATGGTTAGCACCCTCACAATAGAGTACTATGCAACTGTAGGAGGAAGGAAAAGACAAGGGAGAAAAGGGAGGAGAGCGACTCTATAAATTGATGTTGAATAGATTTCAAAATACATTAGGTGAAAAATGCAAAGTACAAGAGTATCTATCTACAGTAGTACTATGGTTCCTTTTGTGTAAAAAAGAAGAGAAAATAAGAAAATATACCTATATCTCCTCATTCATGGGGGGAAAACAAATAGGAAGGATAATTCAGAGAATGATGATATTGGTTACCTATATAGAAGGTAGGCAGAAACAGGGTAGAAAAGAAAGGATTAAAAAAATAATGGGTGACACTGCTCTAAGTATATATTTTTTATATAATTCTGACTTTTGGAAGAATATTAATGTTTCACATACTCAAAAATAAATAAGATCAATTAGGATGAAGAGAAAAACTTAAAATGCAAATTCAAATGACTAAGATAACCGTGCAAGAGAAGAAATAATATTGGGGAAAGAAAATTAATCCAAGTAACTTTTGAACATGGTTTTTATATCAATAGTGTCCAAAAGTAACATAATAGGAGCCACATAAATAATTTAATATTTTCTAGTGGCTGCATTAAAGTAAAAATAGGTAAAACTTTATTAATGTATTTTATTTTTTCTGATATAGCTTAAACATATCGATATATAAACAATATAAAGACATTGTTAAAATGTTAATTCCTTATTTCATACTAAGTTTTCAAAATCCAGTATATATTTTACACTACTACACATTTCAATTTATGTGTTAGTGGCTACCCTATTGGGCAGTGGAGATTTACTGGTAGACTAAATAATTATGCTTTAGATTTATGCTAAAGAAAAAAATTATCAACAAATACTGAACTCTACTTACTAGGTGTCTTTCATACCTTTATTGACTTCAGAGAGGAGGGAGAAGAGAGAGATGGAACATCAATGATGAGAGTCATTGATCAATTGCCTTCTGCATAGCCCACACCAGAGACCCAACCCACAGCCTGGGCATGTGCCCTGACGGGGAATCTAAACGTAACCTCCTGGTTCACAGGTTGATGCTCAAACACTGAGCCACACCAGCCAGGCTACTAGGTGTCTTTTAAATAGTGGTATAAACTAGCAATTCTTAACCTATTTTCTGACATTCTAGAATTGAGCCAATAAGTAAAAACATGAATGGGGCTAGGTTTCTGTTAAGAGGAAGAGTTATAAAGATAAAAAGGCTAGAATAAATTCTGTAGTGTTGAATTAGAATCAGTGGTGTAGACACAAACACACATATTCATATATCATATGTATATATTTCCCAGATGCCTGCTAAGAGGGCCTAGAAGTAATGACACACAGCAGCAATGAGGACATCCAGAATCTAGGTCCCGGCTTAAATGTCATTCTCTAGTCAAAGCAACCAGAGATCCTTGAAAAAATAACTCATTCTAAGGCTCGGGCTGGGAAAGTCTGAGATGGGCCTAGAACATCTTGTTGTGGTAGAAAGTAAAAAATTGTTAAAATAACAAGAGCAATCCAAAAGGTGACAGATCAACTTAGGGGTTCCCACTGGCCGCCAAATCAGGGACAGCATCAAAATAATGAAATAAAGTAGTATTATAAATAAGCATTAAAAAACGATGGAATTAAAAAATCATCATTTAGAAACCATCATGAAAATTATTCAGACAGAAATTACTAATAGATATTAAAATGAGTGAGTAAAAGTTTAAGAAGCAACAGAATATAGTTATAGTCTCAAGTATTTTGTCAAAGATACTTCAAAATTACAAAATGTGAATGTAGTTAATTCCACTAAAAATGACTAGATGGTATATTTTATGTTACATATATTTTATCACAAAAAAAAAAAACTATGAAAGAAAAAACAGTAACTTCACACTAGAAAACCTAGCAGACATTACCTTAATGAAGTCATAACATTACTTCTGTGGTACTCCTGCCAGAAATGGATAACCTGAATCCAATCATGAGGAAATATCAGATAAACCCAAACTAGAGGCATTCTACAAAATAACTGGTCTGTGGTCTTCAACAGAGTCAATGTCATGAAAAGAACAAAGAAAGACTGAAGAAATGTTAAAGATTAAAGAAAACTAAAGAGCTATGACAACTGAATGCTCTTCATAATCTAAAGTTTTCTTTTGCTATAAAAATACATTATTGGAACAATGGGTGAAATTTGA